TAGGATATGTCTTTCAAGAAAATGGAAGGCAAGGAGGACATATAAGAGACAGGATAAGGAAGACAATGGGAGTTGCGAGGCAGGTATGGGGGATAGGGAAGAAGAAATTTGAAAAGGATATAGAAAGGAGAATATGGTTGTTCGACACTCTGGTTTGGACAGTATTAGGATACGGGGCAGAGATATGGGGATGGAAGGAAAGAGAGAGGGAGGAGAGGGTAGAGGAAAGGTTTCTAAGGTGGATCTTGGGAGTAGACTGGGGGACGCCGTAATATTTGGTAAGAGAAGAATTACAAAGGAACAAGTTACGAGATAGAGCAGTAAGGAAGGCGTGGAATTTTAAAAAAAGGCTAGAGGAAGGAAGAGGGGGAAGGTTGGCAAGGGAATGTTTGGAGGAAATTAAGAAAAGGTTAGGAAAGGAGAAAGGGAATTCAGAATGGGAGAAGGACAGAGAGGAATTTTTTAAAACAAGGATAACGGAAAGGGGAGAAATGGAAGAGATAGCATGGAAAAGAGAGAAGGAGATGCCGGAATATGAGGTAGTAGAGGGAAAGGAGATAATGATGCAGAGGGAAGAGAGATGGAAGAGGATTGATAATTCGAATTATAATAAATGGTACAAAAGGATAAAAGGAGAAGGGATACCGAAATACCACAAAAAAGGGTAGGCAGAAACAAGATGGAGAAAAATTGCAAGATTTAGGCTAGGAAATGAAGTAAGGGAAAGTAGGTACTGGGAAGAGGAGGGGAAAAAGATCTGCAGGATTTGTGGAGGAGAGAGGGAAACGTGCGAGCATATATGGGACAGATGTGGGATGAGAGGGGGAAGGGGGGCTGATAGTTGGCAGGAGGTGGTGGAGATAATGCTGGGAGAGGAGGCGAAAGGGGAGGAATGGATGAAGGAGATACTAAGGGAGAGAGGAGAGCGGGAGGAAGAGGGGGGGAGAGAGAGGGAGAGAGAGGAAGTGTGTGTGTGTGAGAGAGAGAGAGAGAGAGGAAAAGAGAGAGAGAGAGACATGGGCGGAGGAGAGAACGAGACGGGTAATAAACCGAAAACGGAGGTTCAAATAGGTTAAGGTAGATGTAAGAATAGAATAGCGTGTGTGTGTGTGGCAGGATAGGAGGCGAAAACGTAGTCATAAGAAAATTTGTATGAGTAGCTAGTATTAAGAAGCGTTTAGGGTAAGAAAATGTAAAGTATACATATGTATGGAAATTGTAACCCTAAGGGGAATCAATAAATTGCAATTCAATCAATATAATGTAGTTCGCTAAATATATATTCTAGTTCGTTGATAATTATATATAACAGTACTTTATAAAGTTAAAAAGTGAATTAAGAATATTTTTTTAGATATAAAATTGTAAAAAACATTGTATCTAATACTATTTAATTTTTCTTTATATTATGTGAAAATCTTTTTTTTACATGTACATACATAAAAATATTATATGTATATTTTACCTTCACGTGTGTATATGGAAAAAAATGAATTTATAAATTTTATTCATAATGATAATAATAATAATTGTATGTGTGCCGTACGTAGCATATTGAACAAATCGGGATAAAAGGTGCCAAAATTTCCTTGTACTGATTGGTCAAGCTTCGCAATAGTAATTCGCGGATGTACTCAACCACATCATTACCCAGCTAACTATTTGCTTGCGGATTGTTAACAAACAGCAAACAATTCCCTGTGGAACGAGGCTGCCAAATTCAGGGCCTACTGTGTCCTCGAGTGCGCCCCAATTGCAACCAAAAGTTGAAATCATATCCTGATGTCAAATTGGGTACAACACCAGAGCAGATCTGTCACTAGCAGTGCGACGACAGATTGACGCAACAAATCGAGAGCAGGTTTGTCAACCGCAGACCGACAACAAATTTGCGCCAAATGCCCAGCAGATCTACGGCAATTTTCGACGACAAAAATTAGATCAGTTACAGTATTAATATATAATAATACATATTAATGTGTTAAAACATATAGGTAAATTTAAATAATTTGATTTATAAAATTAAAGATTTTTTTAGACAGGAATTGCC